AAAAAAAAAAAAAAAAAAAAAAAAAAAAAAACTCTCCAAAATGCTTGGGTAAGGCTTAAAAAATACACGTGTGTGTGTGTGTGTGTGTGTGTGTGTGCACGTGCATGCATGCTCAAAATCCCAAGGGGACAGTGGAGGAAAGGGATGGCCATTCCCTGTGGGTGGCGACCTCTCACTTTCCCTCTCTCTCTGGTTCCTTCCAGTAAGCACATGTGCCATATGCCAAAAGTCTTAAAAAAATAAAAAAGATTTCTTCTGTGTGCAAGAAATACAGAGAAATAGCACCTCTAACAGGGTCTTTTTTTTTTTTTTGTCCCAAGAATTATTTATTGGGGCCGGCAGGTGGCGTGGTGAAGGGAACTGGACTCCCATATGGCTCACTGTGGCTCGAGTCCTGGGCCTGGAGACTTGCTTTCTCACTTTTCTGTCTTGCTCTCTCTCTTGCGCTCTGTTCCTCTTTGGTCACATCAAAATAAATATTGCTTTTGCTATAGGGCGCATGCGCTCACCAGAAAGACAGAAACAGAGAGACAGAAAGCGAGAAATCACCCCCCAGGGGGGATGGTCACACCGCAATCCCTTCTCCTCCATTCTCCTCTCCGAATCTTGGGCACGCACGCACACGCGCCCGACGTGAATTTAAGCCACCGGGTCCAGGACTCGAACCACGGTCGAGTACCTGGGAGTCCAGCGACATAGCCATTACGCCATCTGCTGGTCCTAATAAAATAATTCGTAAAAAAAAAAAAATCAGTGTTTTTACAATACATGGTCTTTCTCTCTTCCCTAGAATGGCTTTAGCGAGAAAAGCCAGTCGTCCCACGGGCGACATTTTAGCCGATGTCAGTGACATTTCTCTAGAAGATTCCAAGATGGAAGAAATCGGAAACGTGAAACTCCGTAGTCGTCTTACCAAAATGGCGCCCAGCCCTAGCAGGTTTCTGAAAAGAAAGCAAAGTGTGGGAGAGAAGCACGTCCTGTCGAAAGAGACGTCCATGCTGGGGAGTGGGCCCAGGCCCGCCTCAGGTCGACCCCCAACCACCGCTTCGAGGGTCAGAACCAACGCCGTGCTCACAAAGCTGGCCCAGATCGAGACCAAGATCATGACTCGGAAGGCGAACCTGGCCTGGTCTGACACAGACTCGGACCCGAAGACCAGCGGACGCAGCCTGCAGCACACAGCGGGCGACATGGGACTTCCTTCACGGAGGCAAGACCAGCCTCCCCGGCCACACGTCCGTGAAGTCGCTGACGTGGGGACACCTGCCCCGAGTGAAAGCGTCAGTAGGTTTCTCAAGAAGAAAGAACCGCCCGTTCAGAATCCCTCCCCTATTGCACCCGTCGGCCAAGAGAGGGCTATTCAAGCACCCCGACAGAAAGGACCTGCTCGAAAACTTGCCCCTCCAGACAGTGATGAAGAAGAGATGAGAGAGCTGCTGGGAAGCTTGATGGAATCTTCCAGAGAGAAGGAAGGATCTGCGAAGCCGGCTTGCAGCAGCAGTGAAGTCGGCGGGAAAGAGCAGACCAAACCATTCTCCGTAAGCTTTTCACGTCTTTCTATTTTTCTTTTCTTTCCTTTCTTTTTTCTTTTGGAGAGATTTTTTTGCTCCAAGAAGGGCACATGCACTTGGTAGAGAGACAGAAAGCGAGAAATCACCCCCCAGGGGGGACGGCCACGCCGCAATCCCTTCTCCTCCATTCTCCTCCATTCTCCTCTCGGGATCTTGGGCACGCACGCACACGCGCCCTATTTATCATTTCAAAGCCTCTGGGTCTGGGACTCGAACC